AATTGCACCTTGAGGATAACACCAGTGGCTTCTGGATCATCGTGATTCAATGTAGGGCACATTTTAAGACTGTTTGGGATTGGGTTTTGGGTTTTTTTGTGTTTTTTTTTCATTTGAGTAACAAAAAGTCAGTAAGCCCTGGCTCCAAATCTCATCTTTTTAATGTCATTCACGCTACTGAGCCCAGACCCGATCCCGCAAGTTGCGTTTGGGTTTATTTCAGCTTCCTGCGAGCAGGAGATGTGCAAGACGGGCAGGGGCACAAAGGCAGAGCAGCAGCTTTGTGCTGGAGGGTTGGCGGCCGCAGGGATGTGCTGGGCTCTCTCTGCACAGGTTCTTCCGACACCATCTCCCAAAGCTACAGCCCTTTTCTCCGGCAGCGCAACTTGCTTTTGCCATCTAGTGGCTGTCCCAAAAAGGCTCAAAAATGGACCAAGGAGCCAACGTGGAGATGGACGAGGTCAGGAAGGGAAAGCGGGGAGATGAAATGTGTGTGGGGGGGTATCTGTGCTATTTAAGCAGCATTTTTCCAGGTTGTTACAGACACGAAAATGAGACCAGCGTGCCAGGCTTTGCAGAATGCAGTGCCGATACGTGAAGGTTAGTGCTGGAGTTTATCACCTGCGAGGCCCCTGCGTGACACCGCCTGCGACGCGGCTGTGCTCGGCTGCGTTTGCAACATCCAGCGCCCGAACGCGCTCCGCCAGCAGCAGGACCCGTGTCGAGAGGTGCAAATCACTGCACAGCCACCTGGAAGGGGTGGCCGGCGCGCGTCGAAGGGCTTGAATAGGAGTAGCGGCACGGGCTCGACGGCGCTGGAGCGGTTTGACGTCGCGGGCGGTCTTGCTGACAGCAAAGCCACACGTCTGCTTCCAGGTTCGTGCTTTAACCCACAGCCCACACCTGCGCGGGGTGGAAAAGCTCTGGGCACCCACGGCTTCACGCAACTTGTGTCCGTGGGTGACTGGGGTCAGGCTTTGGCTGCTTGTAAATCAGGATTTTGGCGTCAGCAGAATTTTGAAGCGTTGCCGCTTTCTTTTTATACTTTTCTTTCCATATTGTCATTTCTGTTGAATTTGGAAGTGGTGACAGGATTTGCTTTCCGTCTACTTTGGGAGTGTTTAAATTAAACCCAAAATGTGAAGAGGGCACGTTCCCCTCTGCTCGGCTTTTCGGGACAGAGCTGGTGGCGAGCGCTCTGTCCCATCCCCACAATAACTCTGTCCCCTCCCAGGACCCCGGGGAGGACCCATCCCTCTCCGCCCCGGCAGACGGCATCCTGCAAAGCCTCACCGACTCCCTCGCAAAAAAGGAACTGGCAGCTTTCGTCGAGATTAAAATACCACACAGAGCTGCTGCGCTTTTGTTTTTAAACGCTTGAATGCATTAGCATTGATTTATTTTTAATACAACCAACCACCTGTGATTTTTGAATATTATTTCTATTTGTTCTCTTCGGCAGAGGTAATTACAACGTTGTTCTTAAGCTGCGACTGCAGCCTCCTGGCCACACTGCCCTGTAGGGATGGCTCAGGGCTGGCCGGCAGCACCAGGTACTTGGGTATATCTATAATGCGCTGCTCTGCCCTAATGGCACTAAATATTTCCTTTATTCAGTGCTCCTGTGTAGCTGCACATGTTGTAGGGGGCCTAAAGAGAAGGAAAAACTCTCCCCCCCCCCCCCCCCCCCCCCCCCCCCCCCCACC